ATGCAGGTTTGGGGAGTGGAAGTGCCTCCAGCTGCCACGAGCTCCGGCCATGCTGGATGTGAACCCAAAGGGACCTCCCTTCCTCCCTCCCTGAAGCTAAATGCCAGGAGTGCGACGGTAAAGGTTGTGCCACACAGCGCCTCCTCTCCTATATAGTCACACCGGTTTCTCCAAGACTATTTGTGTGTAAGGGTTGTATTATCAATGAGAAGATAGAAATTGCATCCCCCAAGTATTCTCTTGGGATTCTAACTAGTTAAAATTACAAAAAACGGGTCCCTGCAAATCTCTTTCTAATACAGATATTTATCTGTACAGTATTTAACGCTGCTACTTCACATGTTCCACGGTTGCGAACTTTTTATATGTAGTAAACTACACACGAGTCACAGCAAGTGCATGTGCTCTCAAAAGTGACAGGATGCAAGATTTATCATGAAATTAAATGCTAATAATAGTAACAACATGTTTTAAAGCTCAGAAGGTATCAGAAGGTTATCAAAAGAAAGCATCCTGCTTTCTTTTGATAACCCCCGACATGCCACAAAGGTCTAGAGCCCGCTATGGTTAATTACTTGTCCTGTTGTCAGCTGTCTTAAATTTACCTGTAATTTCAGTTTTTGAGGCCTGATAACTATTTCAGAGAACAATTAATTTTCATCAACATACAAAAATAATCTTTATGTATAGTTTTCTGAAAAACACTCAGAGCTATTTACACAGGACTGTAAGCTCTCTGATGAAACGATGACAAGAAGAAAGGAAAAAAACTCACCTCATTCCACAGTCTTCTCCTAGGCTTTACAGTTGGGTGCATTTTTTACTTTGTCAAAAACATACCGAAGCATGACCAAAACAGATACATTCCTTCTCATTGCTAGAAACAACTGCAGTGCAAAAAAACTAGTGCACTCGAGCTAATTGCTGGGGGTTTTCATGAACATTCTTTCTAACTTGTGGTGTCAAAGTGAAAAGGAGGAGATGATTAGCTGTTATTTTACTGCGCTGTTGAGCATTACCTCCGAAGCAAAGCAAGTACAAACAGTGACTAATCGCTTAATCAGGTTGGGGTTTGTTGTGTTTGGTTTTTTTTCTCAAAAGAAACTTGGTTACCTCAGGAAGGAAGACAACAGTTCATTTGCAGCTTAGGGCTTTACAGTCTGATTCTGGGAGGTCCCAAGTACCAGTGCTGAAAACTAGAAGAGACAGAGAATTCAAATATTTAGTAGGTATTAAGGGGATACGTGTTCAATCTCTGAAGCAAAACGTAAAAAACCATATTATTGTCCTAATAGTAATTATCACCAGTAACCATAACAACAAACTTTTCATCCTACATGGTGAAATTCACATTTACTGAATGGTGCGAGTACTAAGATATGAAACTACAGCATGCCAAAGCTGCACTCAGGCTGATTAGGTACAATCACCCTGGATTTAGTAACAGGTCTTTCATATCACTGTATTTCAAATATAAAAATATTTCATCTATGATAACCTCCATATGCCAGATTTACTTTGGCCCTGAATATTCAGGAAGAAGATGAGCTTTTCTAACATTCAGATTCAGTGGTTTATCACTACCTGTGTGCCCTGTCTTAACCAGGACAACTTCCCTGAGGTGCCCAGGGGAGGACTGACTGGACCCAATTCAATCTCATAAAATTTCCTTGTACACTCAGCAATGAACTGTCTTGGGGAAAAAAAACCAAAACACCAAGGAGGTAACAAGTTTAAAAGGTCAGAGCACATCGACTCCAGGGAAAACATGCTGAGCCTGAAAAAGTAATGTTAAGGCTGAAGAGATTCAAGACAGAAAGGAGAATAATTTGTGATTGCCATTGCAGCTGAAGCCAGTGACACGATGCAGATTTACATCGGATCGGCATCTAACCCCGCTGATCGCTAATGCAGGAAGTGAAGACTTTTCAGGCTAATCTGTAAAGTTATTTTGAGTCAGATGCAGAGTATTGGTGCAAATTGCCTCTGATACGAATATTTCACATTTGCCTAGCCTCCCTCAGACACTGCCAGGGGTCTACGCTTTTGAATGCCTCTTCATCCCATTGTACATCATTTGTACATCACAATGTACAAAACCCCACAATCCTTGCAGTCCTTTGACTGTTGGCCTGCCTATAGCTAACTGTTTAACTGTTAACTCAGCAAAAAAAAAAAAAAGAAACAAAAAAAGAAAAGGGAGCATATATGAGAAATGCTGGTTTCTCAGCTCATCACGGATGAGGCAGAAAATGTTTTCAGTTTCAGCTGGAAAATTGTTCTCTTTAAAAACGAGTGCTTTTTTTTCCAGTAAGCAAGACTGGTTACGGTAAGATGCTTGAAACGTGTGTGGTTTTTAAGGAAAATAAAATCTATTGGTTGTATCTAACCAATAGAAAAAGTCGCTACGAAAATTTGCTATAAGCAACATACACGAAGGCTGCCTTGTCCTTGCCAAAGCAGCAAACTGCAGCAGCATCTAACAAACCAGACTCGATTCAGCTTTGGTAGCAGTTGGTATGCAAAACAGGGATGAGGGCTTTGGAGCCCTTGAAAGATGCATAATCAGCAGTTCTAAATGTTTCCTTCTTTGGAAAACAGAAAGCGAGTTAGAAATTGGCTTCAGTAAACACGGCTTTTCTTTCTCTCCTGACTATAGGTTAGTTTTGACCTTTTCCATAGCTGTCTGTCTATGGAAAGGAAAACGGCCACTGTGCAGGGAAGGAGCTTCTGCAGACTTAGTGTCAGCATCAGTAAAATGAATATGCAGCTGCCTCATGAAAGGAAAACGGGAGGTCGCTTTAATTCCAGATAAGCAGCAGTAACAGAAAACTTGTATCATCAGAACACATGGCTTCCTTCTCAAGTCCAGCACAGACGGTGCTTACTTGCCTTATCTGAGGTTTAATGTGCACTTGGATTTCATGTCAAACAGGAAGACAACTCAAGCCAGGAGCTTGGCTCTCCACCCTGCCTCTCGTCAATCCTTGCCCCCTTTAGGAAAGTCACCCGCTTACTTCATCACCTTGGTTTCCCAGGCTGTCAAGTGAAAACATTTCAGTAGTAGCTGGAAATATGCAGGTTTACATCAATTCTAAGTATAATGATCAAGTAGATAATATTAGAAATGGCACAAAAATTAAGAAGAAAAAGATGAATTCCCACATGCAGCACTAAGAACAGTCCAGAATGACACTTATTCTTTTAAAAAAGAAAAAAAAAGTCATGCCTATGCTTATGAAAACTTACCACACACTCTCCAGTAGCATTTTCTTTCAACTGCTGACAAAATTAATATCCAAGTGGACATTTTAGACATTTATTTTATGAGAAAATACTTAAAAAATTATCAAAGTAAAGGCTAAAAGTTTCTTGTGTGTCTAAAACTAACCTCACAGAGTACAGATGAATCATCTCAATATCATCAATACTTACTTTTGCACAGCCTAACACATACAGAAAAAAATGCTGCAACACTGGTTTCAAAACTGTTCATTCTTTTTTTGCCCTAGGAGGAATGTCTGTTCACGGCTGTCACCTGCTTCCAGACGGGCATACTGAAATTACAACCAAAAAACAGCAGCGTGAATTCCACATTCACCCAAGCGGTTAAAGTCTTGCGAAATTTCTCCTTGCACAATTCTGGAAAGGTAGGATTTCTTCACAATGCTCATAATCGTGATCACTGCTCCTTACTTTCCAGAGCAGACACCACCTGCAATGGTGGAACTGTAGAAAGCAAAGCTGACAGAAAAATGAGTCTGCCTTCCAGTACTTTGGAAATTAAAAAAAAGTCCAGTTTTCAGCGCTTCTGGGAGATGCACTCACTCTGATCCTGTCAGTCAATTGCACGTGCGCATTTGACAACCGTGAGATGTATCTGACAAAAGGACAGGGATTACTGAAATAAAATGTGAACAAGAAATATCATTACCATATTCTTTCCCTTTCTGAAATAGCCCGTGTCTCAGCTTTTCCATTTGTCAAAGGCTTTGATTACAACCCTGTTGACTTTCCAGTACAAAACCTGCAAGTATTATTTATGATTCTGATGCACTATTAACAAGTGGCACCATCTTCTTTATCTCCCAGCAGTGTGAGTCTTCATGTGAATCGTATGAGAAAAAATCTCCCACAGAGTTTTTGAAGAGCTTTACAAAACTAATCACACAGGTAAGTGGAGTTGATTCCTCCTGGGTGCTTTTTGACTCCTTGCGAACTATTACAGATAACCTCATTTTACATTTTATTTCTAACAATGGGTTGTTTTTACAGTTACACAAGTACTAATACGGGACATGCCAGAGCTGAAGGCTACTGAGAATCTACTATTTAAAGCAGACACTATGTTATTTAAGAAAAGGTGAAAAATGTAAATATTTTCCATTGCTACTATGTTATGCTCTGTATGTGTGTGTGTGTGTGTGTTAAGTGAAGGTATCTCCAAAAATATTAAGGAGTCTTATTCGGATGGCTATTCCTCAGATGATGCTGTTTCAAAAGTGATCCTAGTCTCACCTTACAGTGAAAATTATATTGTAATTTCACTAGAAAAGGTTCTCTTGAGGGACTAAGCTATCACCTTCTGCTAACTAAAAATGCGTGAGATGACAACTCCTGTATTTTTGCTTTGATGTTAAATGAATCGCATACAGAGATGCCTGTAACTTTTTAAAGAAAAGGAGCAAAAAAATTATCAGAGGCTTTGAAGCCTCGAAGGTATCTACTCAGACTTATCTACAATAATACCAGGCACAATTCTATTTCTAAGTTCTTAGACTGTATCTTAGCTAACTGTGGAAATACCTTGCATTTAACTGTCTTATAAATACTGGAAAAAACATTTACAAATCACACTGTATGGCACAGACCTGATCTGTGTCCACGTTGACGTTACTGGCACATTTGCCACGGGTTTTAACAGGGAGAGGAGTAACCCACATGCTCTAAGTGGAGATGAAGGATTCTGTGGGGAAAAAAGCATTTCAGAAGACAGAATTCCATCTAGACGCACACTTAATGTGATAAACACAGCAGAGGCATAACCGGCTGGGATGACCAAAAGGTCCAACAAATACAGTAATTAGGATTATTCAGAGTGAAGCAGCTAGAATGCATATTGCTCTTTCTCAAAAGATAGTATCTTACACTCATATTCATGTACCACGAACACTACTCTCTCTCTCTACTATTGATTCATTTTAACCATCAAAGTTTTAATGTAATTTTTTTTTAAAAACCTGGAATTGCAATTTTTTCTTTGGAAACTGTCAAGTTTTTTGTTATGTGGAAACTTGCCTGTACAGCTTCTGAATCCTGAACATTTCTGTGGAACTATGGCCAGACATAGCACTGAAGCTTTTAAAATAAAAGTAAGTATCATAGCATTTAAAATTAGTTTTTAGCAGCCTAATTATATACCATCATATTCTGCTTGCCATGATTCTGTACCTCTAGACTCCTCCACCTGAGAAGCAACTGTTAAGTTACACCCGAACAGATTCACGTGACGAAACCGATCTTGGAAGAAAGCGTAAAGCTTTCCAGTGAAAATTAACCTTTCATCTAATTTTCTCTCTACTTAGTAGAAATGTAGTATAGAAAGGAAACTGGAAAACTACACCTAGTATTACAATGGAAAATTACAAGCTTAGTTACCTCCAAAAATAATGAGGTATTATTAAAAATATTTCCATTCCAACCAATGTCAGCCTAGAGGAAAACTAATACAAAAAGCTTTTTTTTCCCTCCACATTTCGCTGTTGTGAAGTGTGAACCTTCTCAAAAATTTAGGTCAGAGGAGGAAGGAAGATCCACAGGGCAACAACAAACCAAGTTTCCACAGTGAACTCTCCTTGTTTCTAGTGACCATTCCGCTTTAGAATATCTTTTTTTTATTATTATTTCTCTGCTTTTTTTCTGTTTCAAAAACCACTTTTCCTCTGAGTAATGTTCTATCTCACACCCCAACGTTTCCACATTACTGTATGAGAATTAACAGTCTAAACATCAACTACCACTCATGTGTAAGTAATCAAACCATGAAGTTTAAACCATGTTCTGCACCTTTTATCTCTGTTTCTCTGACTCTGCTACCCATAAAGGCCCTTAATCACCAACTAGTAAGTAATATGCAAAGCTGCTGCTGCTACTGCAATGGATTTTGAAGTTAGAGAAATAGGAAAAGTCGGGGTAAAACAATTTCAGAGTTGGATAAAAATCCCTGAGAAAACACCAAAGCAAGTCTTGCAATTGCAGAGTACCTGCTCATGTTTCTGCAAAGTTACATTTAAATTTTTACAGAGGAGTTTAACTGAATGCCTTTATCATGAACTACATGCCAGTGAGTCCGAGAAGGCCAACCAGTAAGCCAGCACTGTTCACTCACTTCCACGGAATATCTGCATACGCACAATTTTGGGTAAAGAGCTTTATTTTCAGACAAAGAACACAGCGTATATTTTTTTATTTGTAAATGTCTTTTCCAGTAATTTTGTAAGTGCCTCCGAATCGATAACGTAAAAGAGCCTGTTAAAATTTTAGTTGTGCAGATGAAATGTCAACAGTGAGCCCCTACAATGGTACAGTACATACTCCTAAGTAATCACTATAAAGCATTGAGAAGTAATTGGGACAGATACTTTACAACAGAAAAGCAATTTCCTACCAGAAGGTCATAAGCTAACTAGTTACTCCTGTCTACACTGGCACAGGTGCTGGCTTGTGTACGCAAGGCAGCCTGTAATGCAGTAAATAATGTAGCTATTTCTGTCTAGTGACTTGCTCCACTGTTTGTAAACTATGGGTTTTATCACACCTAGCATAGTGCTAAAGGTTTGGGTTTTTTCCTGTTGGAAGTGTAATATACTCATTTGTTATCTGAGGCTATTTCTTGTACCTGTAGAACAACTTAATTCAAAATGTTCATTCATAGGACTCAAAAATAGAGGGTCAGCTGTTCTGACACTCTGCAGAAAACTATTTATTGGACAATCCAGTCCAGATATGTATGGGGAATATCAATCACAAAGTGATATCTCAGATGATTTTTGTTAACAGCACACTGTCAGCACAATCACCGAGGGCAACTCCGTGCACTTCAAACAGGCTTTGACTTCCGTAATGGCAAGGCCTTGGGCTGACTCTTTGACTTGTCAGGGTTATGAAAGGTTGCGTGCGATTACTCAGAGAGTGTTATTTGAAGCCCAAACGAAGGACAGATCAGTCTTCAAGAAGACATTATCTTGTTCTTTGGCACCATTCTCAGGAGTAAAAAAGCAAAAAAGCCCTAGGAGGAACTTGTGACCCTAGGAAGGACAAGTTTATCACAATTCCAGACATGTATGTAACCTTGACTTATTTTTTTATTTGTAAGATGAACTCCTTCTGTACTAACCACACTCTTTGCAGAAGCAACGTGTGTTTCATTAAGTGAGTACACAGAGTAAGCCATAAAAGCTCATTACCTCCCACGGAGGTTTTACAATGTATTTATGATTTTGGTCATAAGTGCCCTTTGCAGGCACTTCAAGATGTGTTTTAGCATAGTATATACAATTCTGTATAATATTTACTTTTCTGGAGAAGATTCTTTATTTTTATACCAAATGACTCATCTAATTTAATTATTTATTGTATTTCTGTTCATATTAAGGACTACGTGGTCTGATTTATTTATAAGCCTATGATATTAAATAATTTTAGCTAATACAAGTTTCTCTTGCTCTTTTCTTTAAAAACTTGTGACCATTCCTGCCCTGACAGTGACCCATAAGACCCCTCAGTGAACTTTATTAGCTTACACTGTCATAGCTTTTGCCACATCAGATCAGGGACCTGGTACACAAAGTTTATCCCTGCTGTTGCAAAACTGTTTAAAAGGTATCACTTAATTTTTTATTGTTCCCATCTGATTTGAAAATCTTTTTAAAAAATTGTTTTTCCAAGCCTAACACCTTCCCCTTTTTGCCAAACTCACAGCTGGTTCGATCAGGTCACCTAGATTTCTTTAGACTGACAAAAATCTAAACAAAAGACTAAACAAAAATCAGGTAACTACATATGTTTTGAGTCTACACAGAATAAAGCCAAACACCTGAAAATGTAACTCTAGAAGTAACGACTGTTCAGTTGGTTTTGCACTGTGCTCTCTCCTCATCCTAGTTGTGTCTTGTTTTGAAACGTCAATCCTTCATATCTCAATCTGATAGCTTGTGTTGAAGTTCTCAAAAAATGAATATTTTTAGCTCTAATACCTTATAAAGGTAGCTACGTTTTATCTTTTACAAAAATGCCTTTTCCCTAAAATGCAAGAAAAATGGACTTTGCTCCAACAAACAAGCACAAAGATCCAACAAAAACAAAGACTAAACAGTCGAACCTCTACTCCTTCCCTTTTCATCTCTTCAGAAAACGGACTCAAATAGCACCTCCTTCCATTATGTTGCCCACCATCACACATCTGCATTTGCTGGGCCTGATTTTCTTTAAAAAAATAAATAAACCTTCAGAAACAAATAAAACCAGATAACAATGTCATAAAACACTGGAGCCTTGAGGTATAAACTGCTCCTATGTCCAGGAGTGAGGATGATGGGCAAGACAATGCTAACATGATCTCTCTCCTAGAAGACCAGCAGTTCTGCTCCGTTCATCAGGTATTTTCCTCTCAAAAAAAGCACAAGGAGACTGACTCCAAGGATCTGGGTGTGCCAGTTGCCTCTTCTTGGCTCCCAAATAGTTCAGTGGTGGCGAACTACTAGATCACCCTGCAAAAGTGTTTGGGGGGAAGAGCAGAGGATAGGGTCTAAGCAGTCCCTCTTGTCTTTGCACACAAGAAGCCAGTGGGAGTCTGGTACGTGGGGATTCAACCACAGTTCACTCTTACTCAAATCTGAGCTGTCTGTCCACTCAATGAAGAGATGCAGACACGCTCAGGAACAAGCCATCCCACTCCACACTACGTGTGGCTTATATGTGACTGGGTAAAAGCCTAGATATTTGATATCTATTACTAGATACCATGAATCTCACTCAAATTCCCTAGGACTTAGATGCCAACCAAAACGTTCAGGATACTTTCTGTGCCTGACGCAGTGTCTCCAGGTGCATGTTTGCTCAATATATCAGAGCCTGTCTTTCCTGTTTTAACATATTTAATTTTACACATACACACTGCTTTTATTTCTTACTTGCATCTTCCAGTATTTCCACAATCACATTAGAAAATACAGGAAAGAGCACATTTGGAGTAGACATTTTTTTGCTTTTAAAAATCTAAGAAAACTGAAAAATAACTGCAGTTTAAGTATGTTAAGTATGATTTCGGAAATATTATTAGCAGTGCCTGCCATGGGCAACTACAGCGTGTGAATATGCTCACACCTCACTGTGGCAAGCAAACAGACCCCGAAGCCCTGGGGCCAGGCTACTCTTCCTTCATAAGTACATGGTTCATTGCCTAAACATATTCTCCTGACTCAGATCTCGTATTAGCTGAAATGGATCACACAGAAGGTTTAACAGAAGGCTTTGGGCTTCTGATACTTTCAGAAGTATTTGCTGGAGCACAGCATACACTGAACATCGTGTGTTGTACGGGTATGTGCTGGTACAACAGAGAAAAATAGAACCTCACAGACGAAAGACAACTGTGCTAATGTTAGAATAACTCAACTATTCAACTCTGCTGAGAAGTCTGGGCACAATTTTGCCCAAATTGACCTAGATACCTGTAGAGATGTAAAAGAACTCCCTTTCAGAGTTGGAATATGTCAAGTATGTTGTTTTGAACTGCACAGAAACGCTATGCTTTTTCTCTCAATGTTTGGTGCGGTTTTGGTTTCGTGTTGTTTTTTTGGGTTTTTTTTTTAATATCCGCTGCACACTGTCCCACCAGCTGTGGGGGCACAAACAAAACACAACCATCCTACAGAGTTCTTCTTTGTTTTGCATTTGTGCCGATGGTACTGTAAAAGGACCAAAGGTGAAAGAGAGTATTTCCTAGTCAAACGTCCTTGGCCAAGCTGTGATTTGCGGTCCTGTACTGCCACCAGCTGGTAACCGTATGGAAATGCAAAACCATTCCAGATACAAACCAGGTAAACTGAATCACGCTCATGACTCTATGCTTTGAGATACACTACTGATGCAGTAATCAAGTTACTTACTTCCTATTTAGACTTCCCTTTTCCTGCTTACAGAGATGAAGACTGCCCAATATTATTTTCTCGTCCAACTGCATTACTCATACAGAATTTTTTTTTCAGAAGGAAGCTTTGATCCTCTCTTCTCACATCTCATTTTTCTATTTACATTATCACAGTGGTCCATCATTCAGCATCTTTCTTGCAGGCTTTTTCCCTCATTCTTGAACAGACTGAAGTATCAGCAACAAGTTATAGAAGATGAAGGGTTTACACGGTAACTAAAACTTCTAAAGAAATTAGAGGTGACAAAGACTGAAACTATGGCAATATGGACTCACTCAGAAAATTTAAGAGTCAGTTTAAAACACAGTTTAAGTCATATCACCTTAAATAATGAACAGT